ATAATGGCATTATAGACCACAAGGTGACATTAATGTGCTGTCCAGATTGCCTTCACTAGCAGTCGTGATGGCTTCACCAAGGCGAGCCGCATCACACATAGAGGCTCCCACGTGCATGTGCATAGGCCTGAGGCGCGCCCTTTCGAGCGGTGCACTGGCATGCAAGCAGAGCATGAGTGTCCGAGCATGTTGGTAGTTTGCTCAGGCATGCAAACATAGCATGTGCATGTGCGTGCACGTGTGGAACACGGACACACGTGTAGAGTTAATGCTTGCAAGGGAAACAGGCTTGCAGGAGCATCAGGTAGGCGGGATGGATCATGAGCGCTATCCGTGCACTCTTAATGCGCACATGTGTGCCCAACCAGATCTGGATTTCAACAATTTTTGGTATTTTTCTAACTTTTTTGAAGTTTTATATCTTTTTCTCTATTTTTTAAAGGCAACAAAAAACATATATTAATGATAGATTCAAAAATCTTCAGAAAATTTTGAATTTTCTATTAATTCTCTATTTTTTGAGATATTTTTCCTCTTTTGTATTACTTTTAAAGGAAAAATATAATTATATATAAAAATTTTCTAATATTTATCCGAAGGCTTCAATTTTATGTTGGGAATGTAATAAAATGACCTCATGGACCACAAGGTGCCATTAATGTGCTGTCCTGATCGCCTTTGCTAGCGGTCGTTATGGCGTCAACAAGACGAGTCACATTACACGTAGAGGCTCCCATGTGCGTGTGCATATGCTTGAGGCGCGCCCTTGCGGGCGGTGCACTGGCATGCAGGCGGAGCATGAGGGTTCGGGCATGCTGGTAGTTTGCTTAGACGTGCAGGCAAAGCATGTGGACATGCGTGGAACGCGGAGATACTCATAGAGCTTGCAACCAAAACAGGCTCGCGGGGGCGCCGGGCAGGCAGGGTGGCTCATGTGTGCCCTTGCCCCCAACTGGAACTGGATTTTAGCAAATTTTGGTATTTTTCTATTTTTTTTAAGTGTTCTCCTTTTTCTCTATCTTTAAAAGAAAAAAAAAACATATATTAATGATAAATTCGAAAATCTTCAGAGAATTTTGAGTTAACTCTATATTTTGAGATATTTTTCCTCTTTTGTATTACTTTTAAAGGGAAAATATGTTTATTTATGAAAAATCCCAATCAACCCCCCTCTCCTCCCCCCTAACTCCTTCCTCTCCAAGCCTATAAATACCCTCCTTGGAGTGCTTTGGAGGGCACTCCTCTCCTATTGGTCTGCGTTCCAGACAATGAAGCTTTGACTTTCACTTGAAAACTGAAAGGGCTGGCTATTTTCATTGGATGGATTGAACTTATAGGAGGTCAATCCTAAGCCTATAAATACCCTCCTTGGAGTGCTATGGAGGCACTCATCTCCTCTTGGCTTGCGTTCCAGACAACGGAACTTTGATTTTCCCTTGAAAACTGAAAGGGCTGGCTATTTTCATTGGATGGATCGAACTTATAGGCGGTGAAGCCCCACGATTCTAAGGTGAAACAAATGTCTTCCCTTAAAAAAGGTGTTGATCGAGCCTGACCTTTGAGAGTGGCGGGAAGAACATGACAAAGAACTACATCCATTGGATGTGTATGATACTTTGGTAATCGTCAATGTATTTATAAAGGTCAGATATGGGAGCTTGAAGCCTGTTGGATGCAGTGTTAGAGGACTATCTTCACCCTGTGACGAGCAGGAAAATAATCTCTATCCCTTAGAGGGGACTCTTTTCTAACCAGGCATTGCAGCTTATCACGTATTTCATCACTGGGAGCATTAGTTAGGTGTGGTTGAGCCAAGTTTTCTATAAGCGTCGGAGGGTTATTGATTGGTCTAGCTGCACAAAAGAGATAAGTGAAACTTGTTGTAATTTACACTCCACGTTAACCTGTGCGGGCATTGATTGCCGGCCCTCACGTAGTTGCTGAGGATTCTCATGTGTAGACTCCTTTCTACGCATTTGGTCGTTCAAAGATGAGCATGGCTTGCCTTCGCTAGAAGGATAATGTCTTTTGTGGAGGGAAAAAGCATATGCTTTACTTTTCTCACTTAATGATTGTCCCTTGGAGTAGTGGGTGTTAGGAAGAAAGACTTTGTTATGAGTATTACTTCTTTTGGTCAGCATAAATTTTACGACTTATTTGATGATGAGAATGTTCTTCCGGTAGACGGCGTCAAAGTATTGTGCCAACAAGTTCACGGTGGTAAAGTGATGTATTCACGTCTTAGTGTTCTATGACGATTCAACCTAGATGCCGGTAAAAGAGAATTTTGACAAAAAAAAAACGAGTTTTTACATAGAAAATTCAAAGGGACAAAAATCACAGGGTTTGACACAGTTATAATGATTTTACTATGCCGATGTAGGTTACAAGGCTTTACTGGCCCTTGATTAGCTAGAAATAATATTACATGAGTAGGTTGTGACTTCTGTTAGGGAAGTGGCAGAAAACACCGTGAAAGTAGTGGTGACTTGTTTGCTGTGAAGAAAAGCTGTCGGTAGAGGTTGAGTGCTAGAAAATATGATGGTAGTGTTGGTGGGCGATGGTGATGGTCAGGTAGCAAAGGTCCGGTGGTTATGACAGTGATAGTTCGGTGGTGGTTCGACATCAACAATCATGGAAGCCTGGCAGTAATGGTTTAGCGTCGATGACCATTAGACATCGGAGGTTCGACAATGGTCTCTGTTAGATGGTCGTGGAAGAGTCGTTATTGTCTGACGGTCATGGCAGCTCGATTGTGGTGTCCAGGTAGTGGTGGTTCGACTTTAACAGCGGTTTGACAGCGGTGGTCGGGCAACGACGAGAGTTGTACAACAGTAGCAACGACTAGTCAGGCAATGGTGGAGCTAAAAAACCTTCAGGAGCTTGGAGCTTTTTCAGCTTTCTCTTCCAGATTTTGGTTTTTCGTCATTAAAAGAGTGGAGATCTTTTATAGATTTTTTGAGTGGCATGCTCCGTAAATATCGCTTGAATCTGAACCACTCCATTGAACGATTTAAAGTGATTCTTTTGATTGGATGATGTTTTATGAGCATTTAAGCGCTTTAATAATGTTGGAATTTTGCGATATTTGGCTTGTTGGATTTGGCTCATCGAAACGTTCAATTTGACGATAAACTTGTCCAGATTCTGGTTTCTCTTCATTAAAAGAGTTTAGATCTATTTATAGATTTTTTGAGTGGCATGCTCCTTAAATATTGCCTGAATTTGAACCACTCCATTGAACGATTCAGTGTGATTCCTTGATCGGATGGTGTTTTATGACCATTTAAGTGCTTTATTGATTTTGAAATTTTGCGATATTGGGCTTGTTGGATTCGGCTCATCGAAACGTTCAATTTGACGATAAACTTGTCCAGATTCTGGTTTCTCTTCAATAAAAGAGTGGATATCTATTTATAGATTTTTTGAGTGACATGCTCCTTAAATATTGCCGAATCTGAACGACTCCATTGAACGATTCAGAGTGATTCCTTTGATCGGATTGTGTTTTATGAGCATTTAAGTGCTTTAATGATGTTGGAATTTTGCGTTATTGGACTTGTTGGATTCGGCTCATCGAAACGTTCAATTTGACGATAAACTTGTCCAGATTCTGGTTTCTCTTCAATAAAAGAGTGGATATCTATTTATAGATTTTTTGAGTGACATGCTCCTTAAATATTGCCGAATCTGAACGACTCCATTGAACGATTCAGAGTGATTCCTTTGATCGGATTGTGTTTTATGAGCATTTAAGTGCTTTAATGATGTTGGAATTTTGCGTTATTGGACTTGTTGGATTCGGCTCATCGAAACGTTCAATTTGACGATAAACTTGTCCAGATTCTGGTTTCTCTTCAATAAAAGAGTGGATATCTATTTATAGATTTTTTGAGTGACATGCTCCTTAAATATTGCCGAATCTGAACGACTCCATTGAACGATTCAGAGTGATTCCTTTGATCGGATTGTGTTTTATGAGCATTTAAGTGCTTTAATGATTCCTTTGATCAGATAGTATTTTATGAGCATTTAAGTGCTTTAATGATGTTAGAATTTTGCGATACATCGAAACGCTCAATTTGACGATAAACTTGTCAAATTTTGAGATTATTTGGTCTCTCAAAATATATTTTAAATCTTCCAACTATATTTTAAGTGCTTGATCTGGGTCCGCTTGGATTCAGGTTGGATCCTTTTCGATGTCATTTGGTTCGTTTCCCTAAGATCTTTTGCTTGATCATAACTCAGAATGCAGTTGTTTACAAATTTTATTTTTGATGCTTTCACTCAAAATGTGCGTCGAGATTCGTGTGGGTCAATATGATTTTTTAGCAATATATCACATATAATAATTTTATAGATAAATATTTATTCATGAAGATATTTGCTGTGTATAATCTATATGACAAAACAACAATATATTAAAACACGAAAAAGAAAACTGTCATGTTTTTACATCACTTAAGATGTATTTCATGCCATGTGTCAATATTTGGAGCCATTCATAATGTAAATTGAGCTAAATAAACAGGTCCCAACCTTTATATTTTTTTCAAGGGCATTAACTTACATACCACCCAATTCTTATGTTTTTTTTATAGTTAAGACCTAAACTTTACTTTTAACATTTATGCCACCCAAATCTTTCATATCACATAAAAATATTTCCATTTTACCTTCTAAATGGGAAACACACTTTTTCATACATAGGTAGTACTTCTAAATGGGAAACACACTTTTTCATACATAGGTAATATGGCATGTATGGAAAAATTGCAGTTCAGGTTTTAGATATGTAAATACAGTGTAATTCAGTGGTATGTATGTAAATCTTTATATATATATATATATATAATTTTCTTGCAAGCCTGATCCTGTTTTAGTAGTTTAATGAGGTATATTTTACCCATCACTGAATTTTGTTGTTCTGTTTAGCTACTGGTTAGTGAAGCTTCTTCCATTAGACATCAGCTACTACAATTATTTTGATATTGCAGGTCGTGAGGGATTCTTTTGGGGCTCCTGAGGTTCTCACAAGGCTAGAAGGTCCTCCACCTGTTAACTCGGAGTCTGTCATCACAGAGTATGAATATGAAAGCTAAAAACTGACGGTGACTATGGAGTAGTTTCCTCCAAAAAAAAAAAAATAAAATAAATAGAAGTTCAAAGCTATATAATCTGCTTTGATCTGAAGAAAATAAACGATGTCTTCTTATATATAATAAATATTCTATGGCGTTTTCGGTCATGTTTCTAGTTGAGAGCCTGTTTATTTTTTTGGGGCAATTGCATACCATACAATTCATATGCATTTACGTACCTAACGCCTAAACATTCATATTACATGCATATCACTCTAACATCGCATCAAAATTTCCGCAAACACTTTCTTTTTGGAAGTGAAATTCACATTTTCATCGATATGGTTAGGGCATCAAATTATTATAAATATAAATATCAAATTTTAGGTGTTAGATACCTAAATTGAGTCATTCAAAGGCATATAATCTCTTAGGGGTTATTTGGGAGCACTTTTATTTTTAGTTTTATTATTTTTAAATTTTATTTTATTAAGTTTATGTTTTACTTGTTTGTTAGTGGTGATTATTTTTTAAAACATCTAAATGTTGTAACAGGACCGGAAGACATCTAAATGTTGTGATTATTTTTTAAAACATCTAAAGCATTTTTAAAACAAAGTGCTTAAAAATGTCCCAAAAAATATTTTCAAAATTAAAGTAAAAATATAGAACAATGGTGTTCCCAAATAGGCTCTTAAATTTATTTTTAGTTTTTATGAGTTGTGTTGAATAAATTCATTTTTGGTGAGCTTAGGCTAGAAAATCTAAGCTTATGTAAAAATTTGTGTTTGTGATGTTGGAACCAGTTAGAAATATATTGGAAATCAAAATAACTTTTATCAATATTGAAATACTGTTACAACAAGACAGACAAAAAAAAAAACACTAATAATAAATCAATCTTGGGCTAGCATTGGAAGAAAAGATACGAGGGCAGAGGTGGTATCGTTGAAGCGGTAAGAGAAAAAGGGAAGAGTTGAGAGTTGTTAGATATGTTGGAAGGGTGGATGTTGGTTGGTTTGGGTGGTATGGGAGTGGCGTGGTAGATCTGGCAATAAGGAAGGGTGGTAATCTAGCATTGGAAGAAAAGATACGAGGGCAGAGGTGGCATCAGTGAAGCGGTAAGGGAAAAAGGGAAGAGTTGAGAGTTGTTAGATATATTGGAAGGGTGGATGTTGGTTGGTTTGGGTTGTATGGGAGTAGCGTGGTAGATCTGGCAATAAGGAAGGGTGGTAATGGGTGTTGGATGATAGTGAGGTGTGCTAGGCAAGTAGCTGTTGTGAGGGATCTGGTAGGATTTAAGGGGCAGCTGGAAGGTTTAGACAGTAAGACCAACAACAGGTTGGAGGGTAAAAAGGTGCTGGGAGGTTGAGTGGATAGGCTAGACAACAAGATAACGACGAAAAAAATGCAACATGACAGCTGTGATAGTATGCGAATGGTCGTCAGCTAATGGACGGAAAGGAGAAGGGGTAGGGAGGAGGATAGATGAAGATACAACACCACCTAAGAGCAGGATGCAATCAGAGCGACACCACCTCCTCATATAGAACCATAAAACAGAGAGAACTACTCTATAAAGGAATCTAAAAATAAGTCACACCAAAACAGATCCTACAATCATAGAACAACCATTTATAAACTCTCATCGACAAGGAAAATGAATCAAAGAAAGAAGGAAACTGCCACACAAAAGGAGAAGTGGGGAGGCAAGAAAAATTCAGAGAACAACCATTAAAAACTTCCCATATGAAGAAGATTACTAAAGGAAGGAATGTAGGTTGCTGTATCACAATCTTGCCTTCATGATCTTCCTCCCGCTATTGTAACTTCACGATTCTTTTCTTGCTTTTGCGAAGGTTTGCGGTTTGGCCTCTCTCGCCAGCCAACCATGGATCCCCCTGGAGACTGAACTGTTTCTTGAGGTATTTGAGGGTCTTCCCCAACTTGCGACCAAATGTCCATATGGATATATCCTCCTGAGGTTATGGATCACGTCTATACTGTTGAATCGTCCCAAACTAACCAAAGATCAGTTCTATCGAGCGTGTAGTGAGACTAATTTGACCCTTCCCACCTGGCGGCGACACCGATGATACGATGTCAGCCTAACATACCCTTGGTAGTATTTGTCTCCTATGATCTCGGGCTCCACTGTGGGGAGTAGGATGTTGTGCTTCCCAACCTTAGTGAAGGAATATTTGTTCCTAAATCCATCGTGCTTAGTCTACGGTCAAATTGTCAGTCTTACTAACAGAAGGTGGCAAGCATCTATAGGGACCATTTCATACCACACTTGGTCCTTCAACTGACTTTTGATCGAAAAATCTACCAAGCTTCTTTGACCATGTTAGTGAATACTTTTGGGAAGGCCTCCGAGTCGCAAGTCCTGATTTCTCTACCATATGGGTCAATGCCACATTCTTACTGCTTTTGCCATCAATGACTGAACCACATACTTTTCTGTTCACTATGCAGCGGGTGTAAAATATGTTGTGGCGAAACCACTGTGAATTCCTAGTGTCTTCAGTTTGCAGAATCCGTCAAATCACGAGTGCCTCTCCTTCATATGGAAGAAGCTGATATAACCCACCCCGTTCCTCAACTTTCTTTTCATTGCTATTCTCTTCTAGGATGCCCTGATTAATAAGTGAGACAACTCTATTCGTGAGACATCTAGAAGCTATGTGGCCATAACCGTGACATTTGAAGCATTTTTTGGCTAGTATAATGTTGGAGGCGCTACCTTTCTCTTGCTCTTCTCACTCTGATTTATACTGTCATTCCCGTTTCTGGGCTTGCTAGTCTCTCTCGGAGTGCCCTTGTCGCTTGTGGTAACTGTAGGTGGTTGCTGCCTGAAGGTTGTTGCCTAAAGGATGACAGCTTCCTACTCTGCTTTAGTTCTCTTTTTACCTTTAAGGCTGGTGTTTGGACATCTCTCAGCATCTAGTATGGTTGCAACTGTGCCACATTGTTAATGATAGGCTTCATTCCACTAATATGCGTGGCTAGTATATGCTCTTTCGGCTCTATTAGGCCATACTTTAGATAAAGTGGTCGAACTAGGCTGTGAACTCCTCCATTGAAAGATCTCTCTGTTGCAAGTTGTGGAGTTTTAGAAACATATCCTAGCGGTGGTGGGGTGGGAGGTACTTTTTTTTGCATGAACTTCTTTATCTTCTCCCACACAGTGATTTTCTCACTGCCTTCTCTTTTTCTCAACCTTTGCACATTTTCCACCATAGAGAAACACTCTTCTTTAGCTTAATGGAGACTAGCTTGATCAAGCATATCCTTTGACACCTCTTTATACTTAAAGAGACGTTCAAGAGTTTGCTACTACTCAAGGAATTCATCCAGATCTATGCCTCCTTCAAACTCGGGTAAATCCAACTTGATTCTGCAGTCTCTGTGTTCTCCCATTAGTATCTCCTCTCTAGAATTTTCCCTCTGGGAGGGATCCAAATTTTCCTCTCCAGGTTTCCTTTGATACTAAATCCCAAAACGTCGCGGCCTGTCTTCTTAATCGCTAAAAAATTCCCCATGGAAGGGATTTGAATTCTCATTTCTTTCTCCTCTTTGACTCTCCATAGTTGGGTCTAAGTTAACCTCCTCTTGTGTTAACTCTCAATCTCCACAAGTCTCTTTTAAAGAAGATGAAGCTCTCGTCGTCTCTCCTTCCGGGAAGGGCCAAGCATGTATCTAGTTGGTGGCATGACTAGGGTTTAGAGTTGAGAAGTGAAAAATAGTGTTGGAGACTCATTAATGGTGTAGTTAATTTGTTGTTGCTGCTTTTGAAAATCAGCACAAGTTTAATTAGGGTTAGGTTAAATTCTTGCTGGAGGTTTGGGAATTAGAAAGGAAAAAATTTTTGGAGGTAGCAGTGTTAAAGGCGGATACTAGGAAACCCTAGGATGAGACGAATGTTAGTGTAACTTTGATACCAAATGATACTGGAACTAGTTAGATGATTAACAAAAAAAAAATAAAAAAAATAAATATGGTTACAGCACAACATAAACGAAAAGGAAAAATACGACATCAAATCAATCTTTAGCTAGGACCGGAAGAATAGACCTGAGGACGGAGATGAGATTGACGAAGTGGTAAGGGAATGGGAAGATTTTAGGGTTGTCAGATATGCTGGAAGGGTAGTTGGTGGTTTGCTTGAGGGGTTGAGAGAGCGGGGTGGTAGGTAAGGCAATAAGGAAGGGTGGTGAATGGTGTTAGGTGATGGCGAGGTGTGTCAGACAACAAAGGAAGCTTTGTGAGGGACCTGATAGGATGCAAGGGGCGGATGGGAGGGAATAAATTGATGAGAGGTAGAGTGGAAAGGCTGGACAATAAGACAATGGCCAAAAAGGGGTGGCAGGATAGCTCGGATGGTATGGTGATGGTAGACGACCAATGGACAGGAAGGAGAAGTGGTAGGGAGGAGGAAGAGAGGAAGATACATCACTACCTCAGAGTATGATACAACCAAAGCACCACTACCTCAAATACAATCCTAGTATTGAGAGAACAAGTAAACAAAGGAATCTGAATGCAACACACCAAAATTTCCCCTACAATAATTTATAAACTCTCATTGATGAAGAAAAGGAAAGAAATAAAGAAGAAAACTTCTACACAAACAGAAGGAGTGGGGAAGCAAGAAAAATCCAAAGAACAACCATTATAAACTTCTCATATGAAGAAGATCACCAAAGGAAGTGATGCAGATTGCTGTATCTAGATCTTCCTCTCGCAGTTGAGTCTCCTTCTCGCTTCTTCTCCTGTTCTCGCGAAGTTTCACGGGTTGCTTGATCCCGATCTTCTATATAGATGTAAAATGCGATGTATGTGATTATATGCTTAATTTCTTTAATAGTGATTCTTACTTTGGAACAAAGCCAAAAAATTGATTTAAAACAAAAGTTAGGTAAATTTCTACTATGAAGCAAATAAGAATATAATTATAATATTTAAATATGGGATACTACGCAAGTATACATATCATTATCAAGTAATATAAGACTTTTTGATTAAGCCCCGAATATCAAGCTCATAGGGAAAACTTGACAATATGCACTCTACAAAACAAGAGAAATTAGCAACAAAGTTCTACTTAGTAAAATATTATTATTTAAGCTCATCCTCACAAACATATCTTTTCCTTTAGATGCTA